TATTCCACGTTCTTCCTATATTCATATTTACGTCTCAGTGCTAATTTTACGTCATTTTGTGGAATATTGTATGAACCGAAGTTTAGGCATGTCGATCGGATCCTTGGTGTACCAGAACATCACTCGGCGATTCTCCACTCTCTTCCTTGCCGCATCCTTCGGTGCCTTCTTCATGAATTACACGTTTGATGCCCTCACTGACGCATACTGGGATAAGGTATGCCTTCCCGAAATGTACCACTTTCGTGAAAGTCTCATTAATTCATGGGTATCTAGTATTCTGTAGGTGAACGCTGAGAGAAGTGTTAGCCATAGAAGGCTAGCTCAAAGGACTGGAAGTTGAAGGGAGCGAAAATCCAATTGATGTTTTGAATTCATTTAGAGACAACCTTGTTGCAAGCTTGTTCACTTCTCACCTTTTTGAGGAACCTTATGCGTTCGAAGCGCATGAAAAATCCCAACTAGATGGCAATGTAGTGCGAGTTTAGTGTTATTTTCCAGTCGCGTCAAGGACGAAAAGTATTTTCCGAACCCTAGGCTGGGCAGACACAGGCGTAATGAGAGCTGTTCAAGTTGAGAGCCGACGCAGAGATAGTCGACACGTAGAAACACTGCTACATTCATTTGACTGAGTCCTGGTGCAAATGCAGCGTACTCCACCTCGAGTTACTCTATTTTTGCCGCACTCGCCGCGACAGGGGACGGCGCTGGCGGTGCGTTTGCGAATCTGCGAGACTGGGCAGTGGCGACTGTGGTTGTCTGCGCTCTGCTGAATTGGTTAGAGAAAGCATAGCCGTGTAACCCACTCCACTTTGAAGATGTGCTCCGTGATTGTGTATTGTGGGTTGTGGCGTTCAATAACATGTAGTCACTCTGAGTTTCCAAAGAAGAAAAACACAAAAGAAAATGCAAAATACCATAGGGACCCCTGGTAGCCTTGCTGTAGCCCTGAGCTGTTGGACCTTCTCGTTTTATGTCAAAAGCATTATCCTGTCGCGGTTGCCTCAAGGTTTGTTTGCTCGCGTCATACAATGCTAATGCCCTGTAACAGTGAGAGAAAACGAAAAACACGATGTAAAAGTGAACTTGTAACAAAGAGAAGCCCGTGAGTTTGCGTGGGCGAGGCAGCTGAGCAGCATTAGAACTGCCAACGCCATCGTTACGTCCTGAGCAGCCGCGAAAGTGGAACAGATTTAGAGATTGTGGGTCGAATTATTTGTGGAAGGAGGGAGCGCAGAGACTGTCTCTGACAGCGTTTCCCTTGGTCTTTCCATTACAACTATTACCACGCTCGTAGTCAGTTCTTTCGTTAACGCTAGCGTCACTCTTTTCGGTTGGATCTGCTTTGGTAGCATATGCCCCCCGGCCCACAATCCCCGAAAACTCGCAAGTCCGGACTAGAACTGCTTGATTTCTTTGCGCATTCTGCAATATTTTTTGGGGCAGCGTTCCTTAACTAATAATGTGAGCGTGTATTCTGAGCAAACCAGTTTTGGATGTGACTACACGCACACTCGGCGTCTTCGGAGAATCCACGTGGTGAATTGATGCGTATCAGCAGAGGGAATTCGTCGACTCGCGACAGTTCGCGAGAAGGACAGTCTACCACATCAATACTTATGGCTTTCAAAAATTCTTCAGCGTTCAGTGCCAGCGAATTCATAATTCTGGGGCTCATTTCGCACCATCCCTAATAGCGTAACGCTAACCAGTCTCTTTACCGTTAGTTTCAAGAGCTTCACAGTCGCCATTAACACATTGAACGCCGCGTGAATTGATATCAATACACGCGCATACTCCCGTTTCTCGCGTTTGTGTATTGCCCACAATTCACGTTTTGTTGGTCGGTTTTTTCGTGGATAATAGTGCGAATTGAACCATTCTCACCGAGTATATGTTCAATGAGCTTTACTCATGCTTAGTTCTTAATGGCGTGAAAATAAGTTGCTCGGGGGGGGGGGTAATTCATTGGGGTAATTCATTAACATTACAAAATAACACTAAGTAATTGCACTTCTTATGATTGCTCCGCATCACTGCAATGGTAATAAGACTTCTAGTGATAATTACAAATGTTTTACAATACATTCGATAGTGTTCAAGTCGTTATGATAATAATATTGGGTCGGCCCATGAGTAATGGGACAACGTATTTTTAATACTCACCTCAGTAGATCAGCGGATGAAAAGAAGGATCCGATCGACATGCCTAAACTTCGGTTCATACAATATTCCACAAAATGACGTAAAATTAGCACTGAGACGTAAATATGAATATAGGAAGAACGTGGAATATTGAGAAAATTGCACAATGCAGGTAGCCATTATCCCTGCAAATAAGAGGGCCAATCAATCAAGGGTTGTTTGTACCAATGGCGGAAAAGGCGTACAATTCCAGAAATGAAAGAAGATCGCAGACACACATCCACTTGAACCGTGAGGAAAACACGAAAGGAAAATTGCTAATGAAGAACGATAAAAGAATAAGTACGGCAAAAATCGGAAATCTTTCAGTCTTCCGAAAGCAGATGAAACGAGGAACTCAGTGCTGTGCTGCCTCGGAACTTCAGTTGGACCTTGTTGTACGGTATGACCCGTTCAAAATGAAAAAATTTTTGCAGGGATAAAACCACCGGAATTGCAGTATCGTTGCAGAAAACTCCAAATTCTTTGGCATTCTTTTGTAATTATCTTTTGGATTCCCTTTGGGTCCTGCAACATTCAAAACCTGATGCTGTACGCAACAACTAGCATACATTTTGAAAAACGTCACCACTTCACATCATTTAATCATGAAAGGTGATTCTGTTGCAAGACAAGTGAAAACTGTGAGTAAAAATGTTCAAATTGAAGGTAAAGTGCGATTTACACAGTATTTACGAATAAAGACAGTATATTCTTAGCACGCTCTTCCATCGAAACACTTTAATTCTAAAACTTCGCCCGTGTAATTTCCACGCAGACTAGGAGGGTCCAGAATACTGCGAAAGGTAAATTCACAACAGAAATATTACCATGAGCAATCCCTGCTAAAATTATGAACATTTTTTGAAGCCTAGCACCACGAACCACAGCCACAAGCTAGCCGTCGCTTTGCGTTGGGCGGTACGGACGTGTTCGAGGTGAGCAACGTACACGCATTCTGCCCCGCGTATGTTTAGACCTCTTAACTGAATAGAATTCCTTTTTAAGTAACAGTTACATAAGCTTAGATCTGAAAACGCTAGTGCTGAGGAATGTTTACATGCCAAAGCCAAAACTTATTAGTACACGATTGCGAAAACTGCCGCGCGCGACGAAATATTCCGAGCGCGGCGGCCGATTGCCGTCTGAGGTCTCGCACAGAATTATCCTCCGTCCTTTAATATCGCATATGGGACGACTTCCTATAATCGGCCTAAATTTCGTATTTATATTTATTTTGGATTTGGGAAGTAACTTCGACATTGTTTAATGGTTTTCCTCGAATTCACGACTTCTGATAATGTCATTGGGGCTGGTCGTTTACATAGGTGAACGGTTTTGTGTCCATTTCGAGATGGTGTTCTTTTCAAAGTTTGATTAAAAGCCTACAAGGTAATGATTATCAGCGTTCCGGGGCTCTAAAGCTACAGTTCTTGATGCTGGGTTTTTCAGCGATGAATATGTTGAGTACTGGAGTAATGCTGTCGTGGTCATGATTTCCATTTTTTTCCGTTTTGATAGAATGACATCCTGGGGGAAATCGCTGTTCCTTCGTAATACCTCTTACTATTTCTCTTTCTTGTTGTGGCAATGGAGCAGAAAAGAACGCTATATTCGTTCTCTGGGCACTGAACACTTAGCAATTTAGTGGGAGAAGTTATGACGCCAGTTGTTGCAAAATGCTAATCATATTTCCGACTAGTTGTGGAATGATTCTTGTTGGCAGAGTTGACAACTTTTTGCAGCTTTGGAATTGTAATAAAGAGACCTTCACATGCAATCTTCCTTTTGAATGTGTTTGCTCCAGGTTTACTATTACTCTGACGTTGCTATGTTCCTTTTTTCCAACGTCATTGGTTTTTCTCCGATTCACAGCAATTTTTTTTCAGGGGAACCTACATCTAGGATGACCAACTCAAAGGGTCTCAGGCGCGGAACGCGCTACATGTTCGCTCGTAATTTCCGCAAGCATGGAATTGAACATCTCTCCACCTACTATCGCATTTATAAGCGAGGAGACATCGTCGACATCAAGGCCAACGGTGCTTTCCAAAAGGGTATGCCCTTCAAAGCTTACCACGGCAAGACAGGAACTGTATTCAATGTCACGAAGAGTGCTGTTGGAGTGATTGTCAACAAGCGTGTTCGGTGAGCATCCGTTTAACATTTATTTTTTGATTTTTCTTTTTTTTCCTTCGGCGGATTCCTTTTTCCCCTCATTTTCTGTTTGTTTTCTTTCTTGTTCTGTATTGGTATGTGAATCCTTTTAAGGAGCGCTCATACTTTGCGGCAGCGTTTTGAGCGTTTCGACCGTTTTGAGCCACTATAGGTATCGATCCAGTGTTTTGAGCGTGCACTAGCGTTTTGACTATCCGCAAGCGTTGTCAGCGCTAATCGACATCTACATTCTAATCATTGAACGACATTGCTAGAAAATATCGTGTTTTGTTGAGCGAAGAGAACGTAAACGAGAATGTTTTTAGCAAATAGTGACGCTCGAAACGCTCAAAACGCTGGCGGACGCTGAAATCCCGAATCGATACCCATACTTCCCTAGTCGCACGAGACGCTGATGCAAAGTATGAACACACTGTCACCTATATGATGTTACTGCGCTTTCAAACCGCATGTCTCTAATACGTCTGCGCGTCCCCAGCGCTGACGATTCGCAAACATGCGAAATCATTGCATTGCCATTAGACATGCTGTCTTATTGGTGTTGGCAGCAGCATGGCAATGAAACAGTACATCTTAGAAAGCGCATTTTCGAGCATGGATACTTCTTCTGCATGAAATCTTATGCCAGTTGCTATCCCTTAATCCTTCTTACTCTAGACTGCTTTATCCCTAGCGTTTTAAGAGGAAAGGAGACCATAATTTATACGTAATTCTTTTCGTTGAATCTTCGATACTTCCGTTTGGGGCTGGGAGCGCGGTATTTTTTTCCTCATCATGCTTGCTTGCGGAATGAAAGCTGTCGTCTAACCATATTCTACGGATGCACTGTTTCTTAACGTTCAGTAGGGATAATTCCAGGGACAAGGCAAGACAGGAAAAATCTCAATCTTCATTGTTTTCGTTTTCAAAGCTGGATCAGTCTTCACTTTGTTTTTCTTCTTTTTTTTCACCATTTCAAATATTAGTGAGGAAGCATCCGGTGGTCTTCATTATGCTCGTGAGGTTGTGTTTAGTTCATTTGGAAAGAAATATTTGAAAGTCTATACTAATCAATTTTGATGGTTTTCCCTTGCGTTGAGGTGAAGAATTCTTCAACAGGAGAACCACCTGCTCCTGTTTTGACGCTCGGCAGAAAACAGTCTTTGTGTAGCAACACGAAAAGGCACCAACTTTGAGAATGGAAACAGAAATTCCCAATGCGATTTTCCCGATGGAGACGTTAAAAGATTTTCTTTTTAGTTTTTCAATGTATTTGGCCCTTCAATGTTACCGTGTTGGGTGATTGACCCCTTTAAAGCTTCAGGAAGCCACCCAGATAGTTGCCGGAATAGTTTCCTCACCATTAGTTATCAGCTGTCGAGTGCTCATCAATACCTTCGGCCAGTCTTTTTTGCTGCTGGTTGGCACAGGGAGAATTTCCCTCGCCTGACGTTCTTTGGAATCGTAAAACTCATTCTTAAAAGTGCGAGGAATAATAAGTGGCAGCGCTCATAGCTTGGACCTTCCTTCTGAAGAAGTTGCTAGATTGTGACTGCAATGGAGCACTCTGTCATACTCCTTGTTCTCTCGTCATTCCGCTATCAACTCTCTTGTTTTATTCTTTTTCTTCCATTCAAGCTTTTTATTCTAAGTTTGTATTTCGCCTGTAGTTTCTAAACCGATCTTGGAATGGGCGAACTGCAATGGTCCAAATGCACCCCGCTGCTAAACGAAGGGTTGCGCTGTTGTTGGGACCGTATTTGGGCTGTTGAAATTGTTTTCAGTAATGATTTTTGCTGATTCAGGCGCGTTTTACCCATTCACCTTCTCCTCTCTGCGGGTGTTGGGTTTGGGACTATAGTTTCATGTTTCTCTCATAGGTATGATGTGCCCTAACAATGAGCGCTTTTGAACAAGCACCGAATTTCGCTTGGGCTCAGAGAGTGTGGTGTTTGGCTTGTGTTGCGATTCCGATGTAGAATGCAGAATAGTTTTCCCTACTTGTTTTCGAAAAAAGCGTTCGAAAGCTTATTCTATTTTTTGCCCTCGATCTTTGAAAACGAAATAAGTCCGTATACCCAACCACCTGAGCGTCTGAGAACCTTCCCTGTGCTCTAATTCAACTCAGTTATTAAAATAGTCTCTTCAAATAATCATCAGGTTGCGTAGATTTACCTGGCTTAGGGACTTCGTTCTTCTTGGTTTTGTTATATGTTGGCCCACCGTATATGTCAACCGTTTTGAAACAAACTGTGCGCTCACCTCTGCGAATCCTTCTGCATGCCATGGGTAAGGTGAGTGGGTCCGCAGCTGCAGTAACGTGCCTAGAGAAGTGCACGGAAAAAGGGGCTGGAGAGCAGTGACAGCCGAGTGCCACTCCATATTTTGCCCGCGCTGTCGCACCGGCCAGTCATTCACTTCACGCGAACAAGTTTTGCATATTGAGGACAGCGCGGGCGGGGCATGGAGATGTATACGGGTATCACTAGCACTTCACTTGCACTTTTGAGCGGAGAAAGTGACACGCTACTGCAGGTGCAGCCAGTTCACCTCAGACATTGTAAGCACCCCCCCCCCTCGGAGGTGAGTTCCTAATTTGTTTTCAAACCTGTTACCATTCCTTTATTACACTATGTGCGGACCTCTGAACTAACTTATTTTTCTGGTACTACTATAGAAAACCCTTATCTGCTTCCCTGTAACAATTGTAGTTTATCAGTTCAACTGATCCCTGTCACTTTCCTCTTTTGACCTGTTTCTTTCGGCCCGCCGCGCTAGGGTTCATTTGGCCTGTTCTATTGTTCCTTATAGTACTTCTGTATATCTACTTATCTTTGTGCACGCTTCTGTCGTTGTTTTCTCAGCTTATTTTGAGAGGCTGTCGTTTTGGGTGATGTCTAGCTTGTTTTACTTACCAGCAGTAGTTCTATTGAAGAAAAATAATACCCATGCATTATTACTAGTGTCAGGTTCATTGACAAATAATCCTTCCAGAGGACGGATCATCCCCAAGCGTATCAATATCCGAGTCGAGCATGTGAAGCCGTCGACGTGTCGACAGGACTTCTTGAACCGTGTGAAGGCCAATGATGAGAAGAAGAAGGCAGCGAAAGCCGCTGGCGAGCCACTACCAGTCCTGAAGCGACTCCCCGTTGGGCCTCGTCCAGGTCACCTGGTCAGTACCAAAAACAACGATCCAGAGCTTCTCGCTCCTCTGCGATACGAGATTGTTGCCTAATTTGTTTCGTTGTTCATAAATTTGTTATTTCTTTTCGATTACTTTCGAGCAGTATATTGAGCGCTCAGCTTTAGTCCATCTCTTACCTCACTACTAAGGAAGCAAGTTTGCCACGATGGAGAACCTGGAATCACGCGACTGCAAAAAAGAACAAGTACAATAATTCTTTATTATACGCTACGTATACAGTACAGGTAAAGAGTAATGCACAGGAGAAACATACGCAATGAAAACACAGCTTTTTTTAAAGAGAGCGCGTTGCGCCCGCGATGGATTGGTTGTGGTCGCACCGTAAGTTTTGTACAGCCTCAAGTGTACAGCGTAAGAAGAGATCAAGAAAAAATACAGCATGAGGTGTCCTATGGAATGACACAAAAAATAGTGTGATCTTGACAGAGATAAAGAAATGTTTCAAAAACTTTGACAGAGATGAAAAAAATGTTTCAAAAACTATGTTCACAGTACAACAAGTCAGAAATACTAAATAGAAATTATAGGCAGTCATGAGTCAGGTTCCTTCTCGCGTTTCCAGCTCTGGAATGATAACCATCCTTAGGCATTGTTCACAGTCTGCGGTCCAGCGTTTCTCTGGAACGCGGCGGTTCGGCGAAAAGCTTTCGATACGTATCGACTGGCGGTTGGGCGAAAGGGTTTTGATACGAATCGACGGGCGTTTCGCCAAACCGCGACGTTTTTCGCCTTCGACGAAACGCTAGCTCGATCGCCGTGGCGTTTTTCGCCAGCGAAATCGATACGCATCTATTGCTTTTCGCCCAACCGCCGAACCGCGGCGGTTCGGCGAAACTAGCGGTTGGCGATTCTCCGATCGATGACTATTTTTTGCTTTTCTCCCAACCGCCGTTTCGTCAGGGTCGCAGACTGTGTACAATGACGCCTTAGTCTGCTATAAATGATAGAATGGGATAAGCAAAGATTGGGCTAAATATCACTGTCGATTGGGGGCTTTTATGTGGACTACATGCCCTTGGAATTCATCAAACTTTTGCAGTCCTTGATATATCAATGACGACATTTCTAAGTCCTAGACGAGGACAATGTGCAGTGTGTAAACGAAAGTAACCATGTCTAGGATGTCGTAATTTACATAAAATCCGCTGCTCAAATAGACAGGCTAACACAAATTAAGAAAACGACGCGCCCATCGCGCGGAGCGGCAAATGACGGTTACCTCTGAACATCTCCTCGCGCCTTATGGATATCACCAATGGGGTAAGATCGTAAATATTTAATGGCATGTCAATGAATTTACGAATCGAAGCAGAGCCAAACGGAATGATGAGGAAATGCGGGTTCTTGTGGGAAATGGGCTAATCGTAAATGCGTGGTTCTGCCTCCCTGATATACGACATGGCTTCACCAGTTACCAGTAATCTGACCACTACGGCCCCAAGTGTCAACGAAATAATGTCTCTCGAAATGCCAAGAACAGTGGTGGTAAATGGATCAGTTGGCCAGCTTGCAGATACAGTGCTAGCTTGGCCATGCTCACAGCTTGCGATTCTGCGAAATCGGCAAAAAGGTCCTGATACGCATCGACAGGAAGACTCGGCGGACCAGGCGGGAGAATCCAGTGGACGCGCGAAAAGAGTTAGATACGTACTGATCGGGAAAGCTAGCGAAACAATGAGGGAACATTGCCCTTTCTCGGATACTTCACGTGGGCTGAGTTAGCAAATTTTATACATACCTAGCCCTTGTGATCGTGCAGGGGAGCTGTTCTCCCAGCTGTAGAGCGACTGCGGATAGTGCCTTAGCGTGCGACTCTAGGTCCTTAGGTACATCCTGAAAGGTACGATCCTTAATGATGGGTTACTGAGTGCCACATACACTGGCCGTTCCCCTCCCCCTCCGCCATCCCTTCATGATTAATCTCGTTTATCGTCTATCTCTTATAGATCTGATATCATCACCCGTGATGTTTTGCAAACAAAAAGCAGAGTGCTCGATTTCAATCCTAACCTAATTTTGCCCTTAGACTTTGAGGAGGTGAGAGCTGACTAATGGATCGTTTAAAGCCCCGCAGAATCAACCGTGAGAGAATAAAGGATGTGTGCGAGAAATATAATTCAATACACTATCTTTACTTTAGCGGAAGAACGAAGAAATAATTAGGAATAAATCTGCCAGCTACAATGTTTCTGACATTACCAAGGTTGCTGCAATTATAACCAAAGATAAAGGAAATGGGTGAACTCACCTGAATCAGACCTCAGATGGTGTGGGTGTTGATCTTCCTCGTCCACGTCCGCGTCCTCTTCCTCTTACCGAATAAGCGGTAGAGAAACTGCGAACCGACGATGCGTCATCGGGATGTTTTTCCTAAAAATGAAAAATCAGGTCAATTACAACGAAAGTGAAGTGTTGTCCCACTTGTTCCAACAATGAGTGAACATAATTTTTTTGTGATACTTGCAGAAAAAAGTGAAAAAACGCCCGCCTAAGGGGGACTGGGATTCACGATTGACATAGAAGAACTCACCACTAGAGAATTTCTATACAACAAGTACGGCTCCCATATTGGTTCTTAGAGGCAATAATGGTGAGGACCATAAGCACGAGTTGCACAACACCCACCGCAATTCTGCAAAAGAAAATAGGTTTTTGTGTTTTTGGAAAGTTTGGGACAATTCTTTCACAGGTAAAAGAGGTCATTCGCAGTACGCAATGAAAGACTCACTCGCTCAGACGTTGGCTGGAGCAGAAATGCTCCGATCAGAAGTAGTTAGATATTGTCAAACTGCTTTATTTCATGGTTAGACAGTGCAGGACAACCTTGAGATACTTCGCAATGCGGTAAGATGAGGCGAACGAATTGCACCGAATCAATCCAGATATATTCTTCTATCTACTGCTCGAATGGTTTGCACCATGTAAAAGACTATAGCGGAAGCGTGTACGGGTAGTTCGCTCTCCACGCGCGCGGTCCGGGGTTCAATGCGGCTCCTGCCCAGCCATACGAACTCCCTTTCTACGGTTCCGGAGACGGGTAATTGGAAATGTGGATCCACGAGCCTGAGAGACATTAAGAACCAGATAACAACCAATAGCGGCTGCAATCGTGCACCGCCATATAAATATTGAACCGCATGCGCATATCAATAAGATAAACAAGAATTGTAATGAAAGTGGTGTGTGCCGCTCCGCACCCTAGAGAAGGACGACGAGAACTTTATCCTTCTAAAGGTAAGCCTCTTAAGAGGGAGCGGTCAGCCTTGAGACTACACTGATACGATATATATCACAAGCGCGTCGATAATGATAGGCAGAACGGGATAACTACAAAGAAAAAACAGTAGGAAACTTTAAACTCACACTGCAGTTTTGTCCTGACGAATAAGCTTTGGACTGAACTCCATGATCACCTCAAGGAAAGTGATATTCCTTGGTTTTGTGACGATACCCCGACGGCTTTGATTCGGATCGAAGCCCGTCAGAGCAAACTGGATGCCGTCTCTGAATTCAACACTTCCCGTAGTTTCGAGCGAAATGATTAAGAAAGTGGAGAAAAGACCAAAGGCAAAAACTAAACTGCAACTAAACTGCAACTAAAAAAAGATTAAAAGCGTGTGGCCTGCATCCGATACTTAACGATCTTTTGAAAGCGAGTTAGTTTTCAAACGACTACCGCGCAACAATGTGAAACCCGGTGAAAATGTGAGGAAATCCTAGAACATAAACAAGCAACAAGGAGGAAATATACCTGTGCACAACGGCCACGGCTTCGCGATTTTTGATGTGATCGTTTCCAAATGCTACAGCGAACCTCTTCGCCAAATCACGTAACTGATGGAACGCATCTGACAGCGGATCAACAAATTCCAGCCCGGTGTTCATCTAGAATATAAACCTTATACGTTAATTACATTCCCAACATAGAACGCACAAACACAAACTTACCCTAATGCTTTCATAAACATCCGTGAGAGATCTGGTGACCGCTTTTGCACAAGCGACAAAATTGAGATCACGACATTTGTACAGTAGTTGTTTCAGTATGTCGCCAAAATCAGTATAGAACTGAAAATGGACAGATGAAAAACGAAAAATGAACTGAAATGGAAATGCAGATGTCTAAACACACCACACCTCGCAGTAATATCTCAGAACAAACGAAGCATCTCTGATAGGGAACACACCATGAAGAACCATTTTACAGTACTGAGCCAGCAAGCTTCGCTTCTTAAAATGGAACATATACAGAAGATTCAACTAATCTGGCATAAAACTGCGCTACCATGTGCATGAGTTCCACTTGCTGTTGTTGATCAAGCTGAGTGTCTTCTGATGGAGGAGTGAAGACATTATCGTTGACAAATGATTGCATCTTTTGTATGAAGTCCTAGAACCAAACGGTAAATTTCAGCATCATAGGAATCAAAATGTATTCCATTATGCTACAAGAAGTTACCAAGAAATC